TGTTTATAACAGTGAAAAGCTCCTATAAGCGGAAACGGACCACCCAAGCCTTGTGTCTCCCGTTCTCCCGCGTTCTTCCCTTACGGAAAAACCCTACTTCCTGTTGGGGGACGAGGACTAATCCGCAACCAAGCGGTCCCCAAATAGATTGCCAGGCAGGCACGCTGGCTAATACGTTACAAACAGAAACGAACAGGGCGGCCGCAAGCAGCAAACGTGACAGCCGCCAACAGAGGAGGCGGAACCGCTATTTTAATAAGACGGCAAACATAAATCATTATGTTACAGCGCTCTCCGCAGCTGCAGCACGCGAGCCACTTGCTTTGATCCTTCAGACAGAGGCGAGGGCCGCTGCGACTTGTACCATCTACGCACGCCCCGATCGCACCGCGGAAACTAGCTGCCAGACATACAAAAGACTAGTAGAAGTTAACACAACTCCAACACTAGTGGCTGGCGATTTTAATGCCAAACACACGGCCTGGAGCTCCCGTATTACCTGCCCCCGTGGCCGTAAGCTGAAAGCAACTGCCGATGCAAACGGCTGTGAGATATACGCACCAAATACGCCCACCTACTATTCCTATAGAACGAACTGCAAGCCCGATACTTAAGATATTGCGCTATGCAAGAAACTCCACTACCCTCCCACACTAACTACCGTTCACGAACTCTCCTCTGACCATTTCCCAGTGATAGCGGATATGAGGCGCGGCGGCCTAACCCTGTCGACTGCACCCACGACGCAGAAGAGGGGCACAGACTGGAAGAAATTCCAGACGTAGCTGCAGCAGCGCATACCAGACGCATCTGCCCTGTCAGGACCGCAGCAGATAGAAGCTAGAGCAGAAAAATTCGCCGAAGCTGTGACTGACAGCTCCTCAAAAAAGGAGCAATCACTAACCCCTTACCTTGTTAATTTAATTTCTAGGAAAAACGCGCGCGCAGATTGTGGCAGAACACGCGACATCCAGCTGATAAGCGGGAGCTAAATCGATTAAAACGCAAAGTAGAAATCGAACTGGCTGAATACCGCAATCAGAAATGGGCCAAATTGTTGTCAGGTCTCAAACCTGAGGATAATTCACTGTGGCGTGTCACTCGCATGCTTTCCAGGAAACCAATTACGGTGCCGCCGCTTCAGACCAGCACAGGAGAACTCGCAGAATCCAATAAATAGAAAGCGGAACTCCTAGCTAATGTCTTAGAATCTGTTTCAGCCGGTCCAGGAGGCGCCGCCGATACCGCACGTTGTCGAAGTACAACAAACGGTAATGGCGGCCTTGCACGCGCCAGCCGACGAGCCGAGTTTCACTACAGAGACTGAAGTAAAAGCAGCCATCTCAGAGCTGAAGACTAGAAAAGCTCCCGGCCCCGACGGCATCACTAACGACGACCTGAAACAGCTGCCGCAGCAAGCCATAGTGTTCTTGGTCGCACTGTTTAATGCTATTTTTATGTTTCAGCATTTCCCGAGTCAGTGGAAGCACGCGCATATATTAACTTTTCACAAGCAGGGTAAAAACCCGAAAAAGCCCGAGTCCTACAGGACCATTAGCCTATTAAACACGGTCGGAAAGCTTTGTGAAAAACTAATGCAAAATAGAATTTTAAAATTTGTTACAAAAAAACGCACTATTAAATAAGGAGCAGTTCGGCTTTCGCGCAGGACACAGATCAACGCATCAGCTTGTGCGAATCACGGACAGCATAAGACGCAACTTCAATGAGCGCCGATTTACAGGTGGAGTTTTCCTCGATGTTGCCAGCGCCTTTGATAAGGCCTGGCACGTCGGCCTCCTTTACAAACTCCACTCCATGAACTTTCCCATGTACCTTATATACCTTATCCAATCGTACCTAGCAAACAGGACGTTTCAAGTGACGCTTCTGAATGCTAAATCTACCCGCCGCGCCGTACGGGCCGGAGTGCCGGAAGGGAGTGTGATTCTTCCTAGGCTCTTCAGCCTTTACGTGCGTGATATTCCCACCCACCCTCAAACAGAGCTCGCCTTGAATGCAGACGATACGGCTGTAATAGCCACGTCAAGAAGTATCGAGCTCCTCCAGAAGTACTTGGATTTACATTTGTTACAGATCCAGGAGTGGCTGAAACTGTGGCGGGTCGAAGTCTATGTGAGTAAGAGTACAGCTGTGCTCTTCACACGGACACAGAGATTCACGCGACCGAGGCCACTCGCGCTTTGCGGGAAATGCGATAAATTGGACAAAAAAAAGTCAAATATTTAGGAGTTACTTTAGATAGCTCTTTGACATTCAAACCGCACATAGAAAATGTGCGACAGAAAGCGCCGCAGATCCGAGGCAGATTGCGAAGCTTGTTTCACCAGCGGAACAAACTGTCAACGGGTAAGCTGCCTCACGCTTTATAAAGCAATAATTAGGCCGCAAATAGACTACGCATGCCCGAGTTGGGCAATCGGCAGCCAATTATCTTTTTAAAAAAACTGCAAGGTAGTTTTTCAAAACGAGTGTCTCAGGCCGCCCTCTTCGCCCCTAGATTACACTCGTATAGAATTACATCGGCGAAGCATTCAATGCCACTGGCTAAAAAATCACATAAAAACTTTGAGTTAAATTTTTTTTGAGAAAGCAGCTGACTCGGAAAATAACTCATTTCCGCGATCGCCTATACAACCCCGATCTAAGGGCGAAGTATAGGCCGACCGAAACACTTTCATGGAGTAAGAGCAATCTGAAACAGAAAAGTGGGACTGGGGCATGAACATAGTATTACAAAACACGCAATGCGCGCGCCTGTAGGCTAAAGTCATTTTTGACCTTTGTGTTTCTCTTTATGTTACAGGATAGGCCATAGATGGCCGTAAGGGTAGGAATGGTCCCACCGCGGTGGCGTGAATGCGCATTGCACTTTAAGTGCGTTCACAAAACTGCACAAATGTACTGCTCGGCCGCGTTCTCATTCAGTTTGCATCGGAGAGCGGAGGACGAGTAGGTATGGGGAGATGTCCGGAGTGTAAGGGCAGACGTTCTCGGGTGCTGTAGGCACGGGGTCCGCAGGACGGCGACCGGTTTAAATTTTGGCGTCAGGCCATGTGACGGCGATAGTCACGGGACAGAAGTCCGAGAGCGCGCATCACGCGTAGCTTTTTTCTGCGGTAAAGCAGCGTTACTGGGAAAGAAAAAGTTTCCGGAGGGTTTAAATTTTAGCAAATTATTGTAACTTGTTTGTAACTTTTCAATATACTTCTTATATTATTGTTATCTGAATTTATTCTTATTGACCAACATATTTCACTACGTCACAATATAATGGATACTGTAGAACGAAAACAGCTTCAATGGTACGGACATCTGCTGAGAATGCCGGAATTGAGATGGCCCAAACAAGTATATAAATGGTTACCTCCGTACAGATGACGGGCCAGACCATCAACCCCCATGGAAACAAGGAATACTGACTGCGATGGCTACTAGAAATTTGACAGAGGAAGATGTAATGATAAAGAAGGCTGGAAAAGAAGATCCGAGAAACATCGCCAGATGTAGACCACTCACAAATACTGTGAGAGCATTCCTTTTCTATTACATCTTCCTCTTTCACTTGTCATCTATGTGAGAAACCCTTCACTCAAACTGCGTACGGAGTTTCATTGAGCTCCTTTTAATATTTACTAGTTATTGTAACAACATGTTTGAAAGTGATTAGGGGGAAGACCGGACTAAATGCCCTGAGCCCAGCCAACAATAAAGACCGTTTGTTTATTAGGTTTGTTTCTTTGTTTGTACATTCATACATCTTTCTTTGTTTATGGGAATGCGGAAACCTTTAATAGGCACCACGATATTCCTTAGTAGTAGTGTGGGAATCCCTCAAATATTTACCCACTAAAACCGCCACTCCTGTTCAGACCTTGCTCGCCCTGCGGTACCGCCGTTAGACATTGCTTCACAGATGGCGTTCTTAGTTTCAGTTCATCATTCAGTTTATGTAGTCCTTCTTTTGTTATTTCTGTATTTACCTTTTTTTGACATGAAAATGTTCATGGTTTTTTCAATTTGTGACCATTATTTTTCATTTTCCAACATTTGAGTTAAAAAATGGTTTGGCGTTGGTTGGGCACCTAGCTGATCCTCCAGTGCTTTTCTTTCGGTTCGCCAGGTTCCGCAGTCAAATACTTCGCATCATCAGTTCGGTAATGGTAGTATCCGCACGTTGCATTCTGTCGGTGGCCGAAGCTGTGTG